CTTTTCACCTCCCGTGGGTGAACAAGTGAAAACAAAGGTGAGTAAGTAAGGAATTGGCCCCTGAACTGCCGAGACCCTCTGACCTCTGCTGACCCTGGCGGTCATCACCGGTGCTAATGAAGAGAAAAGGAGGAGGGGGATGTTGACATGTTACCACACAAAAATACCCAGAAGCCCCCGTCTCCTCAGCAGCCTGGAGACAAATCAGGTTTCACAGCTGAAGGCAAGTAGACACTGAAAACTGCTACTGACTCTTGGATGCAAGTGGGAAGAGAAATGTGGAGGGCCATGTTTAGAGAGGTCTAGGTGCTGCCCCTTATTCCAGAGATAGATAGCATCTGTAGATTAATGCCCAGTGATTACTGTTAATGGGTTGTGTTTGTGTGTTTGTGAGTGTGGTAAAATGTAATGCCTTGAAAATGTTTCCCGGTTGCGATGACATCTTCCAGCTTGCCCTTCATCTGAACTGAAAAAGAAAAAAGAAAAGCTGTAATTATTGTTTGGCTAACATCACTGACGCTAAAGATAGATATTTTCTAACCTTGTGGACACTGAGATGTAATAATCAGTGCTACCGTCGCTTCAGTCCATACCCTTAGCCACACCGCTGTCAAAGAACCCGATAATGCCAGAAACACAGAGGAAATGAAGCAGTTTATATAATGTTGTCCACAGCAGTTGCATACACTTTGTGCGTGTGTGTTTGTGAGATGACACCAGATGGACAAAAGACAACGCCAGAAGAGAAGAAGGCTCAGAACCAAAGGCCAAGTTACACATAAAGAGACACATTCCCATACATATAATGTTCACAATGCAGGTATAACTCTGTTTAGTATTGGTTGTTTGTCCAGATTTTATTACTTTATTTATTTATTTATTGCATAATTGATTACTTCAACACAAGCCAGATCCAATATCAATTGAAACAACATGTGCAAGTGAACAACAAAGCCTTTATGTTTGTCATGAAAGACACCTTAATTATGCTTCATACCCCACAGAGGATTTGAATGGAAGCATCTGCACAGACAGTGATATATTTCCCAGCCTTGATCTCTCTGCGTGCCAGGAGTCTCAGTGATTGTCCTCCATGTTTTTCTTGTAATGACAGTGATCTCATACAGAAGGATACAAAAACAACATGACAGCTCAGACTTTGTTCACATGGCAACATCAGATAAAAGATAGTTCTTCAGTATAACACAAATCAGAAATGAAAAGTTGTTGTTTTCTCCCAAACGGCACCACAGACATGTTATCTGCATCACTTAGTAAGAAAAAAAGCCATCCCTCACTCCATAGTCCTAGAAGGACTGCTTTTACAACTATTTTCCCATCCAGTTCCACACCCTCAGCTTCCAGAGTCCACAAGAGACCCCTGATGAGTCATGTGATAAAGACTGAGATTTTGGAGGGGACGTCTACAGTAGCACTCAGTCATTTAATAAAACAGATACACAGTGAGCTTCAAATGACTGGGAAAACAGAGGAAATAGCAGATAGATTATTCCTTGGATGAGCTGTGCAGCGTTAAGATCACATCTTTGGGTTACTGTAACTCTCTTTTCACTGGGTCAGTGCCTACAACACCAGGAGCAAAGACTCTCAGTAGACTTTAACAAGTACAAGAATGATCAGCTGTCCTGTCGCCCAGTTTGAGAGTCTCTCAGTGTTTGACAAAGGCAATGTCATGTTGTATGTCCACCAGAGGTTTGAGGCTGTTAGCCAATATGAGAGGAATGGTACATTAGTTTAGTGATTGTTGCGCTCTCCTCCATGAGCAAAAGATTGCAGCTGGATCAGACAGAATTCAGGTGTGGGTGCATATAACTGTGTGTGTCCACCCTCTCCAAAGAAATAAGTCTGAAAAACAAAAAAGGTACTAGCCCTGAGGCCAGATGATAATGCAGCAGGGGCCCTCTGTGCAGGATCAAAGTCTTAGGGGACTCTGATTAAATGATGGAATGAAGGAAAGGCAGAGACGAGCTGAAGAAAAAGGCCAGAACCTCTTCTAATTCCTTTTCATCCAGGCAGCCTTGACAGCCAAGGCTCTGCCAGGTTCCTGTGAACGCTGAGAGGCATCTCACTCACTCTCCATTATGTGAAGTTTTCTCTGTTAAGCAACAGCATAGCTCTGTTTTTTTAGCTGTCAATACGTCTGCACACACCAAAGCCAAAGCTGATTCATCTATGTTCACTGCATGACGCAAATAAGGTGGTTCTCTAAAACCTCAGCATTACGAAGATTTCTGTATATTTCACTTACCTTTGTGCCTGATACGTTTACTGTACATTCAGCACCTGCTTCATGTTAAAGAGCAAGTTTATAATGATTTGAAAATGTTTGAGGAAAGTCTGAATAAATGCGCGTGGCTGCAGTGGGAAATACAGAAGTAGCTGGAAAAACTAATTGAACAAGAGCAACTGAAAAATTTTTCATAAACTGAATAATATGCCAGTATAAAATGATTTCTAGCTCAATTATATACCAATTTATAACTTTATTCTTTTTTTAAAGCAAATATTTTATTTGTTGACACTGTATTCAATAATAAATATGTTGTGTTATGTGCTGTAGTGCGTTTGAAAACCACACAATTTCTTTATAATAATGCCAACTTGTGACTAACGAACTATAATTTAATATAATGACTCATTTTATCCTTTTTATCAAGTGATCCTCCCAAACAGCAAGAGAACGATCAATACTTGAGATGTATCTGTAGTCTGAGTAATATCGACACAGCTGACTTTCATCTTTGCCAACACACACACACGCACGCACA